GCATCCGCTGCGCGCCCCGTCAGCTGCCGACCGGAGGAGGAGGCAAACTTAAGAGCTAAGGGGCAGGGGTCTTTCACCTCAACACTCCAGGTTACAGAATGTCTACTTATATGTCAGAAATCCTTCTCCTTAACTTTATGACCCCATACCTATAGACTTACCATTGCTATTAGCCATCCTTGACTTCGGGTTTCTAGTTCCAGATGTTGTGTGCGCCAGAGGTCAATGCTGGGTGTCTTTTTCAATCGCTACACCTTATTTTATGTGTATGTGGCAGTGCCTGAGTGCATGGCTGTGCATCATGTATGCGCAGCCACCAGAAGAAGGTGTCAGAACCCCAGGAGTTGGAGTTTCAGGTGGTTGTGAGCTGTCTAATTTTGATGCTGGGAACCAAACCCAAGTCCTCTGCAAAAGCAGCAAGAGCTCTTAATTGCTGAGCCATCTATCTAGCCCCAATCTTATGTTTTTAAGAAAAGGTCTCTCACTGAATGTAGAGCTCATCATTTGCTGGCTGGCTACCCAGAAAGCCTCATAGCAGTGGTTCTCAACCTTCCAAATGCTGTGACCCTTTAATACAATTCCTTATGTTGTGGTGACCCCCAACCATAAAATCATTTTGTTGCTACGTCATAACTGTAATTTTTCTAGTGTTGTGAATCATAACACAAATACCTGATATGCAGGATAGCTGATATGTGACCCCCAAAGTGGTCATGACCCACAGATAGAGAACTATTGCTCTAGGATCTGCCAGTCTCCATCTTACTCCCAGGGCTGGGTTATAAATGAGCATCTCTGCACTTCAAACTCAGGTTTGAATGCTTAACTAACAGAGCCAGCCTCCTGCGTGTCCCAACCTGCAGGACATGAACCTGGGGCAAGAGAGTCAGGGATAGGGAATGGGGACAAGAGATGCAGAAAGAAATGACCACAAGACAGGATTCTGATCAAGTGGCAAACTTTACTCTTTTTCTCAGGCTAGCTTATATAGTCGGCAGAGCAGATATGGGGAGGGTAGAATAGGTTGTTTGTAAGCCAGGTGTTAGTGTAAACAGGATATTAGGAAGCCACAAAGAGGATGTTTGGCAGGATAAAGAGTTTGTGAGTAAGAGGTCCAGGAAGGGTTGCCTAGGTGACTGAGCCTGTGGGTGGAGGACTGGGTCAAGTTGTTTCTTTTCTTGAGCTGAGGTTCTAAGGAGCTGCTATGTAAAGGTTAACTATGTGGCCTGCCAAGCATCACCTAGGATCTCATGCCAAGCCCTGAGATTTGGCTCCCAACACCTGCCCTCCTTTTCCTATTCCAGGCTGGCTCGTGTGCATCACTGCTGGCTGACTCCAGGTCATCTGCTGTCTCTCAGCTCCCCAGGCTGCAGTACCCTGCAATGGCCCTTCCTTTCTGGCTGGACTCTTCCACTCCTCCACCAACAGCACCCACTGAGATCCTTGGCAGCCCTTTCTTCTCAGCTCATATCCAGGGGGTGACCACAGTCAGTACATGTACATGCCTCTGACACAGAATGCTCACCACACAGCATTCTGGCTGCTTCTGCATATTGTTCACCCCACTGGATTGGGGAATTGAAGATCCTATTTATTTTTTTGGTCAGTGTTTTGCACATTGTGTAGGCTCAATAAATACATGTCAACAGGAACTGATTTTGTTTTCTGTCCTAGACATTTATCCAGAGCAGAAAACAGTGTTCTAGGCCGGGCGTTGGTGGCGCACACCTTTAATCCCAGCACTCGGGAGGCAGAGGCAGGCTGCCTCTGAGGAGCTCTGTGAGTTCGAGGCCAGCCTGGTCTCCAGAGCGAGTGCCAGGATAGGCTCCAAAGCTACACAGAGAAACCCTGTCTCGAACCCCCCCCCCCAAAAAAAAGAAAACAGTGTTCTAGATAGAGGCTTCAACTGCCCATCTATAGGACATTTTCCCCTTGTGTTTTTCCTCTTCTGCTCAATATTCGGCTAGGTTTTGGGCTGTAGCTAATTACTCATTGGTTGAAATGGCCCCATAACTTTCTCCCGAATTCTAACAGAGAAATCAGAGCTCATTCTAGAATGAGCATAATTTGTATCATTAACACCCAGACTACTGTGGTTATTGCCCACATTGGAGCTTATAAGCAAAGCCCAGTTTGGAGCAGTCTCCTGTGCAGGAAAAATCTCCCATCTCTTATTGTCTCTGGAACCATACATTTACAAATGATCTAATTGCTCTGTGTGAGAGGCTGGAAGCACCATGGCAACACATGTAATTGCTAAGGATACACAACTGTTAATTAAAACTGACCTCTACTCAAATGTACTAAACGGCCATGTCTACTCCACGTTAGGCCTTTTACTAATGGTAGTTTACTCTTTCTCCTCCTCCAAATTTTGTTTGCCATATATATGGCATTGTTTTGATAACTATGATCTCCACTTCCTCTGTGTGATCCTGTGGTTCAGAGGTAGAATTTCACACAGCACTGAGGGAACCCAAGGACAACCTGTCCAGACACCCTGACCCATGATGACAGCTAGCTGAGGTGGGTTTGAAGGAGTGAGGTCCACTCTGTTTTCCTACTGTGACTAACCCTATCCAGGTCGGGGTAGAGGATTACAGGGGGAGGGATTGGCTGTTGGTTAGGTTAGACTTGGAAATCCTATTTTTTTCATTCTTACTTGTGGAGGGAAAGTCTAAATATATCATTTTGAATTGTACTGTGATTTATAAACGACAGCAGACTGTAGTTAATGAACTGCAGTGGCCTCATCTACCTTGTTTGTGGTAAATGTATTTTTTGATGTTCTAGGTTTGAGGGCAGTGAATGAGGAGGCCAGGTCCAACAGGCTGTTTAGAAACAGTCCATCTCAACTGGGTGGTGGTGGCACATGCCTTTAATCCCAGTACTCAAGTGGCAGAGGCAGGGGGATCTCTGTGAGTTCTAGGACAGCCAGGGCTACAGAGAGAACCCCTGTGTCGAACCCCCCCCCCCAAAAAAAAGGGAACAGAAAGATGAGATGGACTTGTATCAAAAAGCTATTCTCTATGGTCAAAAGAGTTTAAGTATCTTTCTCAAACTCTAAGACTAGCTTCTTGCCAGGCTACTCAGAAGGATGCAGAAAAGGATCAGGAGTTCAAACTCAGCCTGAACTACTGAGTGAGGCAACATCAGCCTGAGTGATGCAGTGAATCCCTTGAGTCCGTTTAAAAAATAATTTAAAAGAGAGGCTGGAGAGATGGTTCCATTCTCTGGCTGCTCTTCCAGAGGACCCAGGTTCCATTCCCAGCAAATACATAGTTGCTCACAACCATGAGTAAGTCCAGTTCTAGGGGATCCAATGCCTTCTCTGGACTCCTCAGACACTGTATTCATGTGGTGCATAGACACACATACCAGTAAAATAGACAAATAATAATTAAAAAAATTAATTAAAGACAGCTAGGGATTGTAGCACAGTGGCAGAATACTTGTCTAGAATAAGCAAGGCCTTAATTTCTTTTCTTTTCTTTCTTTTTTTTTTTTGATGCAAACTGCACAAGGCTTTATTGTTGTTTAACAAGCTAACCCCATGTTAGCTCGGGCCTTTCATCCACCTGCCATGGAGGATGGCTAGAAAAGACCGCTGGAAGCGTCTGCATAGAGATCTTGTAGGGCAGCGTAAGGGGAGTGTCTAGGGGTATGCACAGGCTCAGGATTGGTGTGCCTTCAGGCTTGGAGGGCTTGCCCTGTGTTCATTGGTCAATCTGTTGTTATGGCCCATAGGCCCTCCCAGGGTGGATGCTATGCTCTGCACGTCATTGCCGTGCACTTGTCTATAAAGCACACCCAGAGCCGGATAGCATAGCACCACCAGCTAACTTCTGATTGGTTCCTTGCCACGAGGCAGGGATATGACTTTCTAGTGACTAAGGCAAGGTCACACAAGCATGTGTTCGGCTGTTATGGCTGCCGAAATGGGGAGCTGGTCTCAAGGCCTTAATTTCAAACACAATGTTACAAAATGAAAAAAAAAAAATTAAAGCCAGGCAGTGGTGGTGGTGGTGTACACCTGCTTCTCCTCGGCACCTGTTCTACACAAAGGTTCTGAGACTTACGTTAGCAGTTACCACTGAAAAGGGGAGTCACAATGTTAGACACAGACACTGCAAATCTGGGGTGAACTCAGAGTTGATGATATACCATAAGAAATATTGGAATTAGAGCCCTTTATGCTCTCTGCTTCCTCTCTCTCTGCCTCTCTATGGTGACCGGCCATGGCAGTCAGCCATTTACTCTGTTCCTCTCCTCTTCTTAGTCTCCCTACTCTGTCGGGCCTGTATAATAAACTAGTCAACATGTCAAAAAAAAAAAAAAAAAGAAAGAAAGAAAGAAAGAAATATTGGAATTCTCATTAGAGCCCTGGTGGGAATCAAAGGTGAGATGGAAGCCATAGAAACAGCACATGTTTCTGTTGTGTAGCTGATTATCCTGTATTCAATGATATTTCTATTTCCACCTCTGCTGGATTTGAACTCACAATGCAGTCCATGCAGGCCTTGAATTTGTGATTCTCCTGCTTTAGTCTTCTGAACAGTAGGATTACAGATGTGTGCCACCAGGGTCTTCACCCTCCACCCTGCCCCCCCCCCCCGGAGTTTTCTTTCTTTTTCCCCCTTTTCATAATAGCCCATGACTGGCTGACTAGATCTTGCTGCCAGTACCGCCTGCTTCAGGAAAGCTAAGAATATTAAAACAACAAGGGGAGAAAAAGGGAGACTACAACTTCTCAGATATAGGGAGTATTTTATTCATATATGTATAAAATTATACTTTAGAATTCTTCTTTTCTAAAAACAGGTAAACTGTAATCCTCCAAATGAAAAGGCTATAGTTTTTTAACCTTGTACACACCATTGTCACAGTTAAACAGTATTTTCAGTTATGGTGGGTGCTGAGGATTGAGCCCGGGACTTCACACCCACACGCAAGCCCTGTTAAACAAGTTTGTTTTGTTTTGTTTTGTTTTGAAGCTGTGAAAAAAAAAAAAAACAACCAAATAAAAAGCTCTTCCACGGCAGCATAAGGCTCTGTAACTGCAGTCTGGAGCCTCAGGATGGCATCAGAAGCCAAGTAAACTGTTGATTCTGCATGAGTTTCTCTTCAGGAGCCACTTCTCTTAACGTTAATTCCTCCTCATAGGTCTAATTCACTGGAGAGGCTTTTCTAGAAATACTTATAATACCATGGAACAGTACAAGTGGATGACAGCCTCAAGTTCAAGACCTGCACCCCACCATCATGCACTTCCCAATAGTATCAACATTGCTAGCCTGCATAAGAACCAACAAGTAACATCGAATAATTTCTGTAAGTCTGAAACATGTAAGGCTCAGCTCCACACACATCTCACACTTGACAGTGAATAACTAAATATTAAGGTGATAAATGTGTTGCCACACCTAAACATTTAAAACTCTATGTAGACTATGTCCCTCCGCCCCCGAGCAGGGTTCAGTTTCCTGTACTGAGGCTAATCTAATCTCAAGTCTCACCTTGGGCTGGGCCACCCTCCCTCACTCTCTTTCCCTCACTACCCAAAACAATGACTCCACCATCTGCTCACCAGCAATGTGGCTACCAGATGAGGGGTGTCATCTACCCAGCCGAGAAGGTGGAGAACTGGACAAAGTCTTCCCGTTCACTAACTGGAGGGCCACAGCCAGCAGTGAGACATCAGGGTCCTCTCCTTGCACCTGGTGTTATTCTTTTCTTCATCTTTGCACTGCAAAGGGCACTAGAGTCCTATAAAACTTGGCCAAAACGTAGGATGCTTTGGTTAGAAAATGCCGATGGCCAAGAGAGTGGGTCCAAACCGGCCTCCTGTGGTTTGGAGGAGAAAGGATGACATGTGGAACACCTTTCTGTAATACACTCAAAGCTACATGATTTTTTTATTGTCATTTATTAAATTGGGATTTGTGTCTTCATGTGGCCAAACCGCCCTAGAAATGGCTTACACTTTGTTGCAATTATCACTGGATGACAGAAAAGAGCACTGGCTCCAGGGTACCTAAGAGGCAGTACATCTGGTGGCCTGCCCTTATGCTGAGGTCACAGGAAATGTAAGTACATTATAAATATTCCTATCCCTTTCCACTGAAAAAGCAAGGCCAGTGAGTGTCTGATAGGATTATTCTTACTTTTAAGATTTACTTTTCTTTTTAAAAGAATGTGTCTGTGTGTGGATTTGTGTACGTGAGCACAGGTAACCATGGAGGTCCATAGAAGGAGTCAGATCTCTTGGAGCTGGAGTTACAGGGGCTGTGGACCACCAGGTGCCGGTGCTGGGAACTGAACTCAGGTGATCCGAAGAGCAGTGCATGCTCTTAACTTTGGAGCCATCTCTCCAGACCATTATCTCCTTTTAAAAAGATTTATTTATTTATTTATTTATTTATTGTATTTCAACATTAAAAGTATCAAATTTCACAAAATATGTTAGGTTTTCTCATAGCTAAAAAACATTTCTCCCTCTCATTGGGGGAAAAAAAATCACAAATGAAATGGACAAAATACACCTTTTTTTTCCCCTGGAGTTTTGAGACAGGGTCTTTCTCCATAGTCCTGGTTGTCCTGGAACTTGCTCTGTAGGCCATGCTGGTCTTGAGCTCACAGAGCTCTGTCTGCCTCTGCCTCCTTAGTGCTGGGATTCAAGGTGTGTGCCACCATGCCTAGCCAAAGCTAATACTCTTGTATAAAGTTTTATGTGCAGAAACTATCACTCACTTTAGTCAAAGGGTAGGTCTGTCCAATTCTATGCAGACAACAAGCCTCTTCAATTCACTCAGAATAACCCAGGTTTTCAAAAGCAATAGTCCTTGAATAAGCTACTTACACTAGTACAAAAATGTGACACTATTAAGAAATACTTTATATTGTAATCTGAACAGTTTGCCCAGTTTTTATAAAGTTCACATAAATCGGGAATCAGAATGTTTTCCATTAAAACTCTATGCTTCATTAGAACTGGAGTACAGAGTTAGCAGAACAAGAAAACCTGCAAGAAATGCATAGAATTGGCATTTAGGTTTTATCTCCCGATTTGGGAGCTTGTGTTTAACAGCTTAAGAAGCACTGATCAAAGCACTGACACATACATCACTCCCACTAGTGGGGTCATGAGTACAGACTTCCCATTTTCAGGGATGAGTGAGTTAATTTAAAAAGCTATACAGGATTAACGCTCCAGTAAACCAGCTACAAAGTGTTATGTACATATATGGATCTGACTATCCCATGTGAAGCTCCAAGATGCAGACAGTTTGGGCGAGACCATGAAGACAGGAGTCCTAGACTTTTACACGGATGACAACAGAGTGTATAATGTCCTTCAGACTGCCTCCTTTATAAATACTTACTTGAGTTTAAAAAAAAAAATCACAAGAATATTTCCTTAACATGAGATAATCCAAACAACCTTCTTTACTTAAAACCAATAAAAACAACCATTTATCAGACAGTTAATAAAAATTCCCGGGCATCAAACACACAAAGGCAGAAAGAACAAAACTCCACACTCTACATTTTCACACAGGTGTGCATTAACTAGGTGATGTTTGGGAGGTAAACCAAACAATTTAAAATTCATGGATTTGCAAGGGCCCAACAAACTGACTCTGGGGCAGGTTAAATATATTTGAGGAAAAAGGTCCAGGCTGTGGTAGAGATTCAGTATACAGTCCCACCCAGAACCAAGAAGAAACTTGTAAAATATCATAAAACCAGACTGTGGGAACGGATTCTTAAAATAATTATATAAAGAAAAGCCAAGAACACCCAAAATATTCTATTCCATATAAGAAACACTGATTGTCTGTTCCCATGTTAGTTTAAAGGATACACAGAACAGTGCAAATTTGTATGTTTTTAAAGATCATTCTCTAACAAATAATGGTGGACAGACAGACATCCCACAGGAAAATCCCTCTGAGGTAACAATTCAGTAAGCTGGAAAACACTCTAAAGTTCATATTGTCCTTTAAAATCACACTGAATATTGAGTCCATTTCATACTGCTACAAATCACAAGGAACTTCAGAAGCATCCTCAATTCTTACATTGTTCCTTAACTGACACCACAAACGCAGATGGGACCAGGGATAAATGATGCACTAGTTGTAAAAACTTAGAGAGGCCTTCTGAAGCAATGACTCTTCTAGTTGTGATCTTGTTCAATGAACAGGGCCTGGTGGTGCTCACCTTTAATCCTTGTGCTTGGGAGGCAGAGGCAAGTGCATCTCTGCGAGTTTGAGACCAGCCTGCTGGTATACATAGTGAGTTCCAGGCCAGCCAAGACTACACAGTGAGACCCTGTTTCAAAAAAAAAAAACAAACAAACAAAAAAAAAAACAAGCAAGCAAGTGAACACACACACACACACACACACACACACACACACACACACAAATACCAGCAAACCTTTCTTTTGTCTCTAATGGCGTACACGACCCCTGAAGTTGTATATCACGCTCTGTGTAGTACCATTTCTCTTCACTGGAACCCTAAGCTTTTCTAATAGCAATGTTCTGTTAGGCTATTGTGAAGACAAAGTTATTTTTTCCAGTTAACTGCATTTTACCCCCAACTTTTCAACAGTTACAATTTATAAAAATGTAGAATCTGAATCTACTTTATTACAAAAGGAAAAGTATTTGTGCACATAATTACTATAGACAAAGGGTTCTGAGAGTTCTGACTGCTCACTCAGCACGAGTGTACCTCCCTGAAGCACACTCACTTATAAAAACATGTTGCCTTTGCCATGTGAAAACCGGGTATTTAGTTCTTGGGACTTCTTTATTAGGGCTTTTTTCTGAGCCTCATCAAACCGATTAACCTTGAGATCTTTATCACGGTCAAATGGTATCCTCTCTTGGTGCTTGTTTTTATCTTCGGCAGCCTTATTCTTTAACTTTTTATGATGAATGTCCATGAGGGATTCTGATCTTCTTGATTCCTAGGGAAAGCAGGACAGAGACAAACACCTTAGTGCATGTAGGTTATTCAGTCTATGCCACAAAGCAGACTGGACCAGTGCATGTGAATGAGAGATGTTTGTAAGCCCTGATGGGGGTTTCAGGATGCAAGACAGCATCTATGAAGACAATGTACAGCTGTGGTAAATAGAATTCAGAAGGAATGAAGACATCTACAAGCTTCATGTAGCAAAAGAATAAGAAAGGAAGGAAGCACAGTCGTTATGGTTACTTAAGTCTTAACAGGAATATAAACCAAGAACAGGGGTGTGAAAGAATGAGCAATTTAATTCCCGCTTCACAGATGAACTGGTCCCTGAAGCCACTCAGGTAGAAAGAGGTGAAGGCATTGACAGAAGCCAAAACAGAAGTGAAATATGAAATAGGGGGCACAGACGTGGCCTAATTTTAGGCCTTAGCAGCTGGCGAATGGCCAGAGCTGAAAGACGTTTGTTTCACCCATGGTTCTGCTTGTTTCTTTTCCCTAACAACCCTCCTTCCTCTTCTCCTCTTAGCTTAGGTTGAAACTCACATTTTCAGGTCTATCTACATACCATTTTCAGACGAGGTCTGTGCAAAAGCAATGGTTTAATAAATTAGGGATTTGCTGTGGACCTCTGAGTAGATTAGCCTGGGATGGAAGGACCAGGGAGGGATGGAGGAGATGGCAGAGCAGCAGCCTCAAAGCTGGGACCCAGGGCTGCACAGATGGCGTTGAAGACTGGTAAAAGCGAGAACCATTTTAAGGTTATTTACAACACCTGTCATTTAGTTGGTCTTTTTTCAAAGATTAAAAGAATACATGAGTGTGATCCTGAGTGGGTTTCTGTGTATCGTATGTATACAAGAGTCCACAGGGGCCAGAAGAGGGAACTGGAGTTCCGGAACTGGAGTTACAGGTGTCATGAGACATTATGGAGGTACTGGAAACTGAACTCGAGTTCTCTGCAAGAGCACTACTAAGCAGGCTTAGCTGCTGAGCCAGCTCTCCAGCCCCTCATTTAATCTTTCCTTTTTTTTTTTTTTTTGAGTCTGAACTAGAAATTTAGTCTTTCTTAAAACTGATTTGTCCTATAAAGCATCTGTAAAGGTGACTTTCCTATATGGTTATTAAGAGACAGGGTCTCAGGTAGCCCAGGCTGGCCTCCAACTTACCTGATGTGTAGCTGAGGCTGACCTTGAACTCCTGACCCTCCTGCTCCACTATCCAAATGCTGGCATTATAGGAGTACTCCACTACACCTGTAGGTGGATGTTATTTTCCTGCCTGACAGTTATTAAATAACCGACACAGTCTTAATATTAATTATAAATTTTCAGCTGATAGCTCAGGTTTATTATTAACTAACTCTTACAACTTAAATTAACCCATTTCTATTAATCTATCAGGGCTTGGCCCATCTGAAACATTTACATAAGCCAGCAGGTTCAGGAGTCAAGTCCCAGCATAGCTGAAAGAACCGTTTGAGAAGTATGTAGACACCTGGGCATGGAGCTGCATCTACCTATGTTCTATATCAACAGAGGACCCATCAAGTTCAAGGTGTAGGACACAGCTGCCCAGGAGAAGTTTGGGGACCACTGCAATGGTGACTATACCCAAAGCCAGTGTGCCATTATAAAGTGTGATTTACCATCAAAAGTTACAAGAATGTACCTAACTGGCACACACAATATGTGTGCATGTGAAAACATCCCCATTGTATTGCATGGCAACAAAGTGGACATTAAGACAGGAAAATAAAGGCAAAAGAATTTTCAGTACTATGACATTTCTGCCAAAAGTAATTACAATTTTGAAAAATCTTTCTCTGGCTTGCCAGAAAGCTCACTGGAAATCCTAAGTGGGAGTTTGTTGCAATGCCTACTCTCACTCTACCTGAGCTGGCTATGGACCCAGTTTTGGCAGCACAGTACGATTTAGTATGATCTAGAGGTTGCTCAAACAACTGCCCTCCTGGATGAGGATGCTGACCTGTGAGAAAATGTGCCTCACAAGTTTAGTGTCATAGGCAACTGTCATGTGATGCCAGTGATGTGGTGTGTGCGCCACCTCGGTTAGCTAAGCAGACCATATACTTCCCTGGGATGCTGAAGGACATGAAGGGGCTTCAGAGTGAACATGGCGGTTAAAACATACCTTCCTTTTCTTGGATTTGCATATTTAGCTGTTTGGAACACAACTGTTTTCTTCCTGAATTTCAAAGACTGCTAGAGCACATCACAATATCCAGTGTGAGACCTTGTTTGTTACTGCCACTCCCATTCCCATTCTTTTTGCTTAGAATCAGAATAAAGTCGATTTTAAATATATATGAGAGAAGAAGGAGGAGAGGAGGAGGAGGAGGAGGAGGAGAAAGAGGAGGAGGAGGAGGAAGAGGAGGAGGAGAAGAAGAAGAAGAAGAAGAAGAAGAAGAAGAAGAAGAAGAAAATTAGAACTGTGCCAGGTGCTAGAGGTGCACGCCTTTAATACCACCATTTAGGAAGCAGAGGCAGGTGGATTGTTGTGAGTTCGAGGCCAGCCTGGTCTACATAACAAATTCCAGGACAGACAGGGCTACAGAGAGAAATCCTGTCTTGAAAAACCAAAACCAAACAAAACAAAAAAACTAAAAGACAGAAAAATATGAGACCAGAAAATATGGAGCAAAGGTCAGAGGGCAGCCTGGGTGATGTAGGAAAATCTCAGCACAAAAAAAGTGGGAAAGAGAAGAAGATGGACAAGAGGAAGAGTGGAGAGGAGGAGATTATATTTTATTGTTTACTCACGTTGTATGAGGACACTTGCTCAGCCAGTCTCTTATCCCTTCCTGACAATACGTTTTCTTCATCTTTCTTACTGAGTGACTTCCTTGTTTCTTGTATTTCCTGAAGAAAGAACACAATAGCATCACTTAAAATAGAATGAAAAAGAAATACTATTAAAGTCATTTAGATTAAATGACAAGAAACTGAACTAAAGCCAGGCTGGTTCAATTCCTCCCAGTCAGAAATAGCTGCATAACTGAGGAGGGACCTGATAGTTCAGGAGCCGGTGATTTTCCCAAGGAAGAGGACAATGGGATTCAAACCAAACCCTCCCAGTCACCCAACTGAAAGAAACTCAGGGTGAGTTTGAACTAACAACGACAAAATGTGGGAAAATAACACACAAGAAATCTTCCACTGTATAAAAGACTATACATATTGACAAAAAAAAAAAAAAAAGAAGAAGAAAGAGAAAGAAAAGGACACTGTCAGCATCCAATGATGGTATGAGTGTCTACACAGAAAACCCCAAGAAACCTGCCAACAAACTGGAATTAACAGAAGCAAGAACAGCAAAGGCGTGTGACACAAAGTCAAATGAAGACACACACACACACACACACACACACACACACACACACACAGAAGCCAGGGAGCCTTCAGCCAGACATGATATACATAAGATATGAAGAAGCAAAGAAAGGTAAAAAGCCCTGTGGCAAAATGTAGATGAAGACAAACAAGTTAAGTTATAAGAGCTAGCAAGAAACAAACCAAAGCAAGGTCCAGCATTCATAACTAATAAGGAAGTCTCCATGTCATGATTTGGGAGATGTTCATGGCCCAAATGAAAAAGCTGGGTACAACATAAAACACTTGAAAAGACAGAGTGAGAAACAACAGCCACTGACAGTCCAGGTCAATGGCTAATAAAGCTTAAGTCAGAGAGGGACAAGCGGAGGCTTTGACTATCCCTAGTTAGGTGGGCAGCACATAAACAGCCCATCTCTTGGGTTGGACCAGGGAACATGTGCAGTGCATGTGGACTATCTATTAACCTCATGATAGCCCAGAGAACTAACCAACCTCACAGCAATTACTCAGCCCTTGTCTAGTCTTTGCCATAGACCTATAAAATCCTGAGACAAGAAAGTACTTGGAAACCCCTACCACCCTTGAGAGTTCTAATTTTCTTTAATTTCACACTTTTTCTCAATTTCTCACATCTCTGTAATTCCCCTGAATAAAACTTGTGTCCACTTCACATAATGCCACCAATACTGGTGTTTTCAATCCTCACTAGTGTGAGACAGTGAATTCAGAGCCACCATCCCAAGTCCTGAGGTTAGAGGTACAACTGTTCTAAAGCCCTACATCATTCATACCCTTAAATAATTTCATCTTGTATCTTTGAGAGTTCAAGACAAACTAGACAGAATACATGAACAAAAAACAACAAGAAAAAACAAAAACAAAACAAAACAAAAAACCCGGTTACCTTAGCTTTCCTTTCCCGGTCAGCTGGGGTGTCTGTCCAGACAGATCGGTCTCCGGATTTGTCATCAGCTCTTCTCTTAAAGGTTCTTGGCCCAAGTCCAAAGTCTTTCATTTCTGGAGGAAGCTCAGTCATCCATGATTCTCTTGTGATTGGTTTAGATGAATCCTGTATGAGAAATAAAGTTAAAAACACAGTAGTGGCTGTGCGTGGTGGCACATACCTTTAGTTCCAGCTCTGGGGAGATGGAGGCAAGCTGATGTCTGTGTGTTCAAGGCTACATAGTGAGTTCTAGGCTAGCCAGGGCTACAAAGTGAGACTCGGTCTCAAAACAAAAGACAAAAACCACACACACGTACCCCCCCTATATGTGTATACATTCTATGCTATTTCCTAGGGTTAGAGAGTTGGCTCGGAGGTTAAGAGCACTTGCTGCTTTTGTAGAGGATGGTTCAGTTCGGTTCTTAGTGCCCACATGGTTGCTCACCACCATTTGTAACTCCAGTTCCAGGGGGTCGGACTCCCTCTAACGTCCTCAGACACCAGGCACACGTGGTGAACATACATTCACACATGCAAAAAACACTCATGCACATCAAATACATCAGAAAAAAACCAAAACCCTTTAAAACTTACATCATCTCCTTTGGTTAATTTTTCCTTCATTCTCTGGGCCCTTTTTTCAAACTCTGTTGTTACGCTATAGTTAACTGGTCCTTTTGCAGGCATTGGTCCAACAATATCCTCATCTTCACTGCTTGCTGCTTCCTTTTAAAACAAGACAGTATCTTTATAAGAAGAGACCAATAGGTTACAATGATCTTAAACCACTTGGGATTTAGCTGAAATGGATTATGCATAAACAATAAAACAAACAAAAAGTATCTTGGTAGCCCATCACTTAACAGAGAGCTTTTCCTTGGCTTCCTTGAAGTTGACGGCTCCATAGCATGTGGACTGTCCCATTTCTCTTCCTGTCATCGAAGACCTCATTATATTATTCCTATTCATACGCCAACCCGTTATGCTGCTGACGGGAACCTGGGCTTTGTACATGTTAGGCAAGGACTCTACCCTGAGCTACATGTCCAGGATTTCAACTTTTCTTGATGCAGAGATTCGGCCTTAGAGTTCTTTTCAACATTTGAAACCTATTTTCCTCTCTGTACATGAACAGCTTTTTTGAATACGGCAAGTGAATCAGGGCATTACTATCAGCTTTTATGAAACAAGTACTGTATTAACAGCTCCCAAACACAGATACAGAAGCATCAACAAAATAGTGCGGATAACTGGATACCTCTAGTTCCCTTTTGTTTTAGATTTAACATTTCTTCGACTGAGCTATCCACTTCTACCTTGTCTTCAACACCTGAGATTTCCTTTTCCATGTCTTACATTCTGTTGGTGAGGCTTACCTCTGAGGTTTTTGTTTGACATCCTAAATTTTTCGTTTCCAGTTTTATTTCAGTTTGGTTTTCTTTGTAGTGGTTCTATTTCTTTGTTAAGTTCTACTTTCATGACTTGAATTATTTTCAACATTTTATTCAGCTGTTTGTATTTTCACAGACTTCATTGAGGTATTTATTTATATTCTCTTTAAGGTCCTCAACCATATCCATAATTGCTATCTTAAGGGCCCTGCCTTAAGCTTTCAGCTATATTGCTTTTTCCAGAGCCTGCTGCAATAGGGTAACTGGCTTTTGGTAGAGGAATATTGTATTGGCTGCTCATGTTTGTGCTTTTGTACCAAGATCTAGGCATCTGGAATTACTATGCTTGAGATATTTCTTAGTGTCCACATCAGGCCTGTCTTTGTTGAGTGGGTTTTCTGTTCTCTGGTTGCTGTTGCCCTTTCTGGATTCTGGACAAGTGTGGTGGCTGTGGGGTCCCTGGCAGACAGTGCTTCTGTAGGTTGATTGGTGATAGAAAGGAATGTAGATGGGCTAGGAGGAACGGCTGAGATTGGTTGTGGGAAAGAGCTGGGGGTACTGGGATCTACACCAAAAGACAGAGTCCCCAGGGAATTTAGGTGGGTGGGCAGAGGGACTCCTGCAGGGAGGCTGCTGCAGGACTAAGAGCAAGTCTGAAAGATTCTTATGGAGGACAGGAAGCACAGTGAAAATCACCTCCTGAATCCCAACCCAGTGTGTCAACTGGGGGCCTCCAGCAGAAGGTGTTTCGGCCAGACACAAAGGAATGGAGATGGGCTGGAACAGCATCTTGTTCTGATCATACGGATGATGGTTCCCTGGTAGGATCTGGATAGGTGCGTAATACCCCAAGGCTTATAGTTTGTCTTTGTCCTCAGTAGATTACAATGAATAACAACATGCTTGTCCTTCGATTCTGACAGCTTCTACATCTTATTTTATTTTATTTTTTGAGCTTACAGGATAAGGAGTTCATTTATACCCCTTTCATTTCCCCTTTAACCACTCAACAGTAGCTTCTATCTGGGGCTTTTCTTTTTAAACTCATACAAGTGCAATTAAATAATTGTGTCCCTGCTCTTGTGGCTTACTCTGAAACACACACACACACACAGACAGTGTGATGGGCTCTGGCATTCAACGCCACAGTTGATTCTTACAATAAAACTATGAAATGATATTCTTTTTCCTTTCATCTTGAGGGAATGAATCTTTGAATAAGTCTTTTAAGAAGATTAGAGAGAACTTACATCAAGTTTTAAAACTGGTACCTAAGGATAACCCTTTCAGGACCAGTGTTTTCTGTACTCTCATGAAAGCCCTACCATGCTCTTCTTGAACCCACCTGCTGATGATTTAACCTTAAGCATTGACAGCTTACCTATCCAACAGTAAAACTGTGCTGTCAAAACATCACCCAATTAAAAAAAAAAATACTAACAATTTGTGTGTGTGTGTCTGTGTGTGTGTGTACATATGTGCCAGTGTGCGTGGAGGTCAGAGGACAACACTATGGAGCCATTTCTTTCTTTCCATCTTTACATGCACTTCAGGGATGGGACTCAGGTGCAGCAAGCACCTTTACCCACTAAGCCAGCTCACCGGCCCACAAGAATCATCTTAAGTGTATCTGTACTTTCTGTAGTCTTAATAAACCTTTGTGGCCTAAGGTAAGCAAATACAAAAGGTATGATGAACCTTTAAAAAGAGGTATATTTTTATCTATGTGTATGTTTCTTTGTATGCATATTCTACATATATGTGGATGCACACAGAGGTCGGAAGATCGTATTGGACCTCCTAGAGGTAGAGTTACACCCAGTGTGGGTGCTGGGAACTGAACTTGGGTCCTCTGGAATAGCAGCAAATGCTTTTAACAGCTGAGCTATTTCTCCAGCCTCTATGATAAACTTTTAAAGTTTTAGGAACCATTAGTGTCTGTGGCCAGGAATGGTGGCACATGTTTTTAATCTCAGCACTTCAGAGGCAGAGGCAGGTGGATCTCTGTGAGTTTGAGGGCAGCCTGGTCTACATAGTGAGTTCTAGAATAGCTAGGGCTATGAAGAGACCCTGCCTCAAAAACAAACCAACCAAACAAGCTAACTAATTAACTAACAAACAAAAGCCCCAATTAAAAAAAAACAATAAAACAATAAAAACAAAACAAAACAAAAATCCAGGCTGGGTGGTGGTACATGCCTTTAATCCCAGCACTTGGGAGGCAGAGGCAGGTGGATCTCTAAAGTGAGTTCCAGGACAGCTAAGACTGTTACATGAGAAACTCTGTCTCAAAAAAAAAAAAAAAAAAAAAAAAAAAAAAAAACTCTGTCTCAAAAAAAAAAAAAAAAAAAAAAAAGGAAAAGAAGAAGAAGGAGGAGGAAGAGGAGGAGGAGGAGGAGGAAAAAAAATCCAACGAACAAATAAAAACATTAGTGTCTGATGGTAGGATATGCTAATACTACTAATAATATTTTGATATCTAATAAGATAGTTTTTATGAAGATAAAATTTCATCACATCTTGCTTTAGAGACAAACATCACCTGATACTGAAAGACAGGATATAGACAGAGGATCAGAGATGCAAACAGAAATAACACTTAATTGAAAATTAGAATCATAGGCCCAAACCCAACCTGGCATAGTACAGCATTTTGATGTCTTCAAAGGTTTATTATCTCAAGACAGGAGAACAACAGGGCAGAGAGTAAGGCCTGCAGAGCCCTGGGCAAAGGTGACCAAATTAGTGTATGAGAGAAATCAGTTGGCAAAGAGGAAGACTAAACACCTCCCCATCCAATTAAATCTGGAAAGTGATACACAAGAGCAGATACTCAAGCGTCTGCAGGTGAACTTGACTCCTACTCCTGTGTGGAGAGTTCAGATTAAGGAGATGTGAAGTATCAATTCTATATAGAATTATTTATAACAGACAGCATAAAAAAGGATGACTGTCTTATACAAATAAGCCGGAGTCTGCACTATGAGACGAAGCAGCCCACCCCAGACAGCAGACCCACTCAAGACACGGACTGTTCTCTTGGTTGGCAGTGGATCTTTTCTAGCAAACCATCTCTGCTTCTGATGCAAACTGTGTTGATGCTCAGTTCCTTGTCTGGGGACACAAGAACCTGGAACTCCTCTGGGGATGCCCACTGAGCTCCAGTATCTGTGATAGCAACCTTACTTACAATCACAACAGACATTATGCACCACACTAGGGCTTTGCCACAGCCCTGGTCCTGTGATCTCAGGGTGGTGGTGGTGGTGATGGTTTCTACCAATAATTACTTTATTGCTAGAAAAACCTACATCATTTGCCTTCTTTGGAGCCATGAAACTGGGGCTTTTTCTAAGCCTTGGGGGGAAACATGGATAATTCAAAGCCATTCACTTTGGTCTCATTGGCACTAACCTGACAGGCTTACCCATGGGCATCTGATACACTTTTGGTCAAACAAACATGAATAGAGAAGCCCACATGAGACCTTATGGGAAGGTTTCCCCTCCTCTATTGCAGTGAAAGCTTTCATTCACTTTAGTGTCTGGACATTGGGAACTGCACGTAAATTTGAAGACTTTGGCAGGCACAACAGGTATAAAGAAAGCACTCCGCTGATGGGAAATTAGCATGCCTAAGAAGACAGAGCAGAAAGATGGAAAACTGGAGATTATGTTGTTAAATTAACCAAACTCATACTGATCTTACTTCTAGACCTCTTATTAGGTGTCACACACTTCCTTCATTTTTAGAGCACAGTGCAGACATCTTGTGATGGTTAGTGTTGATTGCCATGCCAACCTGACATAGTGCACAATCACCTGGGAAGAGCCTCAGTGAGGAACTGGTAATATCAAGGCGGCCTGTGGGCATGTCTCTGTGTGGGGTTATCTAGATTATGTTGATTGAAGTAGGAGAAGCAACACACCATGGGTGGCACCATTCCCTAGGCAGAGGACGGACCTCTCTTGTGTAGCAGTTTCCTCTAAAGCTAAAACCTTCCATCTTGGAGGGAAACTTGTTAAGACACGAAGTGAAAAGTAACAAAAATACCACCCTTCAAAGATAGCACAAATCATAATCCTTGACAATCTTGTTTTGCTAAGGTATCAGGTGTGAGAACACCTTTGATTTCATCTCTGGGTGTTCTATAATTCTCACCTTCAGTTGGTAGTGGGTGTTCAATTCTCACAGTGAGCTGACAATGTGTTCAGAGACTCTATTTGGAGTATCATTTTTATGTGAGCCACATGATTACAGATGCCATTCAGGTTATGAGTTTGTTATACATTTTATTCTTTAAACGAAAAATTTCCAAACCTCTGAGTTGAAGAATGATGACACTTGTCCTGGATCCTCTCTGCCTCTGTCACTTTTTTGTGAAGACTTAATGAAACCAGGTGGCAATGCAGGACCGATCATAGGCCTGAAAATAAAATACACCATTATTATGCTCTCTTAACTTTAAAAAGCTGTTTAGTTTATTCTAAATTTTAGAATAAAAGTGCACAATTATAAGAAACCCAGCCAGTAACAAATGTTAAACCCAAACATTTAACAAATATTAAAAATAAGAATATTTTGTAACACTATTTTTACTAGTATCGATAGCTTTCTACTTCATTTTTAGAAAAATATTTTCATTTATTTATGGGCATGTGTGTGCCACAGTGTGCATATGGAGGTCAGTGGAACCAGGGATTGAATTCCAGTTCTCAGGCTGTGGGACAAGTGCCTTTATCTGCTGTCATCAACTAGATACTAAGCAAATATTTTCAATCTTTTTGATCTCACTGTATTCATGAGGGTGTCTTGTGCTTCATCTTCCACTGTTTTGATATTTGCTATCTACTCAGAGTTCCTTTGGGCCTTGTAATTACAGTCAGAACTACTTAAGCAGAAAGTATGTTCTTCTAAGGACAGCTACAACAGGTACACACATCACTGCCAGCAGTCAGGAGCAAGCACCACAGCAGTACAAACCTACACAGTCCTTGCTAGTAACCCAGCAGTGATGCCGAAGTAAAGAAGAATGCAGCTGGCCCACTGTGGCACGCAGATGAAGCAGAAGGTACCTATTGTGCCAATCACATTTCACTTGGGTATGTTTGTAGTTCCTTAAACAACCCTTTTCCGTGTAAGCCACTGAGATTTGGAGAAAATTAATAGCTAAGATGAACACAAACAGCAAGGGGCTGAACAGGAGCCTAAGACCTGGAATCTTTGATGTCAAATTTCATAATCTTTAGAGTTGGATTATTACCCCATTCTCAGGGAACTGTCATCAATACAAGAGAGATTGCCTCAATACTGAGCCTTTTTGTAGAGAAGAAAATACAAGGAAAATGTGCTTTTTTCTCATTTCATATCCAATATTTCATTTCCAATATTTTCCTCACGGTTCTCATACGCCACTGAACTCCTCAGAGGGATGGACAAGTAGCACCATGTTCACTTAGAGCCTCCCTGACTGGCTTCTTGGCAGAGGGAAACAGTATTGAGAGCCAATAGTTCTGACCCCTTAATAATCTTATTTTGGGTTCATGAACCCTCTTTGTGTATAATAGTTTTGTATATGAAAAGGCAAAGTTTCAAATTATCAGAAAGATTCAATTTGCTGTCATTTACAAGCTACAAGGAAATGCACAAGGCTTTTCCTAAGTATAATTCTTACCAGAGCTACAAAGACATTAAATTTATGACTTTAGAATTTGTGGAGATAAAATCTGTGGCATAATCTTAGAAGATAGTAAACATATTGGACCAGTGAGAAGGAGAAAGCTCAGTGGGTACAGGTTCTTGCTGCCAAGCCTGAGGACCTGAGTTCAATTCCTGAACTCAGAGTGTGGAAGGACGAGAACCAACTTGCACGAGTTGTTCCGTGACCTCCACATGTGCAGGGGTGTCATGTGTGTGTGTCCCACAAATAAATAAAATGTAACACAAAGTTTTACATACAGTAAATGTAATGTAGCTGTGGCATTCTGCAGTTGTATCAGAGGCTTTTTACTCCAATATATGCTACTTTTTATTTCACATATGGGTTTTATTGTCAAAAAATGTTATTTTCTTTTTTACCCTTTTTTTAAAATTGAAAATAGATTTTTCCCATTTAATGTATTTTGATTACAGTTTCCCTTCCTCCAGCTCCTCTCAGATCCTCCTACCTCCTTGCCCCCCAAACATACATCATTTCTCTTTCTCACTAGAGAACAAACAGGCATCTAAAAATAAGATAAAATAAATAAACAAACCAGAATAGGACAAAACAAACAAGCAGAAAAAAAAACAAAAAACAAACAAACAAAAAATGAGCCAAAGAGAAAGCACAAGGAACACATCTAGGGAGAAATCATTATATAAGAGCAAAAGACCTATAAGGTAAAACAATGTCTAGACAAACCACCGAAATGTAATTTTTAAGAAAGAAACTACCATAGACTAAATACAAGTTGAGTACAGCTTATCCAAGATGCTTAGACCATGAGCATTTCAAACTTTAGATTCTGAACTATTTACAGATGCGAGGTAATGAGAAACCCTGGGGAAAGGGTCTCAAGTCTAAACGAGAAAATTAATTTGTGTTTCATATACACAAACAGCCTAAGGCAACTGTATATAATGGGCTAGGTGATAATTATGTGTATAAAACAAGGTTGTGGACACTGAAGAGCAGACTTGTGGTGTGATGCTGGCTGCACTCAAGTCTGGGATTTGGAAGTATTTTGGATTGCAGACTTTCAGGTGAGACAGTCCATCTATAATGAGCTCTTCTGGAAGGAATACAATTTCCTAGGGGCCAGTAACTTATCTATAAAAGGTGAGCAGAAGGTCCTAATTTTCAGGCATTATGAACCACATCTGTATACCTGTATCATCTGCATTACTCTTTAAAGATGTAAAAGTATAGTTTGTTCGGGGATTATATAAAAACAGCAGCAGACTGTAGTCCTGCTATACTTCAAAGAAACAGTTATATGGAAATTAGGAATTGGCATATGAGATCCTCAACTCTGAATATAAAAACAAACAGCCATTTCTTCCATGTGCTCTGACATACTGGCATGCATGTAATATGCATTATATTAGTAAATTGTCACATGCTGTTTAAGCTCCCTGAGAAGCGGTTCTGGAGGTGGGCCCCATTTCAGACCCAAGCATGTTTGTCTTACAGTGTCCTCCAGGACCCCTTGTCCCAGGACAGGCTGGCCTGCACCCTGTGAGACAGGGAAGGGAGAACAGAAAACATCCCCATCTCCAACTGTTGTGACTTTGAGTCCAGAAGGAGAGTTAATCAGTTGGGTAGAAACACTGTTATTGAAACCAGCTTCAGGGTGAATTGTCCTAGCACTTTCCCAGAACAGAAGCCTCTGCTTTATATTCCATGATATAAAGTGTGTGTTGTGAGGATAGCTAATGGGAGTCTCACCCCGGAGGAGACGTTCTGCCTGATTCCTCTTTGTCCAGCAGGGACTCATACTGACCGCTCTCCCCAGTGCTTCTCCAGTCATTCCTGCTGGATGTGTGTGTCTGTCTGCGGACGGTTTACCGTCTATCTTCTGTTTTAGTCTTCTATTCTCACTTGCTACATACTTAATAAACTTACTCATTCAAAACTAAAAGGATGGCTATCATGGGTCAGTCTGTATATAAAACTATACAGCATTATGAACTTTAAAAAACTGGCTGAAGCATTATACATTATTACCTTGGAGGAGAGTCGTCCTGCTTCTTAAATCCAGGAGGGAGGGCTGGTCCAAAAAACCCATCATCATCGTCATCTCTATCTTGATTTCGCCTCTGTTTTCTAAAATTACAGTAGCACAACTTAAGTTAAACAGATGTTAAATTTTTACAAAAAGAAAAGCTCTAATTTTGAAAGAAAACATTAACTTTATATAGATATATAAACACTGGAACAAAATCAATTAACCCTGCCAAATTGAAAATACAATAGTTCTTAATCTTAATAGTTACAATACTTCTTATTCTTTTCCTGTAATTTATCTTCAGTTATTTATTGTCCAGGACTAGATAAGCATTCTGGATCTTGTAGAGAATTCAAGATTCCACTAAATGAAAAAAAATCGCAAGGTCTTTTCAGCCCTTTCTTAGTGAAATGCATGAGTTCGGCTTCTAGCCTCCCTCTCAGAAGCACTGTAAGTTGCCTTTTTCTGTCTCTTAATCTTAAGGGAATCGCATATTTAAATAGAATATCCACTGCATATCAATTTTAAAAAGAAATGCTATGGGCTTACTTATAATATTTAGTTATTTCAATAATATGTTAAGGAAAAAAAGAACCTCTTACATATATTAAACCTTACTAGGCTGGAGATGTAGCTCAGTGGCAGAGAGCTTACTTAGCCTGCTCAAGGTCATAGGTTTGATTTCCTAGCACCATACACACAAATCTTACTAATTCATTAATTCATCCATTCATTTCAGGGATCTCCTTATCTACACACTACTAGAATAAGCTCCTTTTTATTTTTTTGGAGACAGGGTCTTACTATGTAGCCCTGGCTGGCCTTTAACTCATATAGATCACCTGGCTTAGCTTCTGAAGTGCTGGGGTTAAAGGTAGGTACCACCACAAGCAATTAGAATAAGTTCTTTATACAAGATGTAGATGGTGTGACATGCCAGATGAGAAGACATTTTCCCCGAGGTGAACAAATGCAAGCACAGTTCTCCTAGTAGCCATTGTCCAGCCAACTTGGGAGAGGTGTGAGGCTTGCTTCACTGTGGAATTCAGAGACTCACCTGGCAGTTGGACCAGTGTCATTTTCTTCAGACTCTTGATTTCCTTCTTCAGACAAAGAACTGCTGTCCTCATCACTGTCTGAGGAGTCTGAGCTGCTGCTTCTGTAATTAGGAGGCAGAGCAGGCCCTGCAACTACACAAGGTTGGAATTGTTAGAACTCTTTCACTGAGTCCTCCTGGATGCAGTTTTCATGGCCACAGCTGGCTAGCATTTACTATGGACTTTACTCTTCCAACTATCCACCTACCAACCCATCCACCCATCAGTGACAGAGTAAATACTCCTAAAGAAACAAATGTAAAAAGATCAGTTCAAAAGTGTTGTTATTGAAACAGTAAAAACAGGTCTGTGTGGAGGGAGGACAATTTGGAAGACAGTGGCCAGGGAAGGCCACTTTGACAAGACATTTGGGTACACTTAAGTGACGGGACAACAATGGTCATATAGCAATCCAAAAGAACATCCTAGACCAGGAATTCTCAACCAGTAAGTAACCCCTTTGGGGTTGCATATCAGATATTTATGTCACAATTCATAACAGTAGCAAAATTACTGTTTTGAAGTAGCAATGAAAATAATTTTATGGTTGGGGGGTCACCACAACATGAGGAACTGTATTAAGAGACTGAAGCATTAGGAGGTTGAGAACCACTGTTCTAGATAGAGAAAAAGTCAGCAGAAGACAACACGCTGTGCATTCTCCATGGAGAGAACAAGCTGATGCTCCAGGCTGAAGAGGCCAGTGTGTCTAACACAAAGGAAGGCAAGGCTGCATTGTTAACCTGCCTGTGCTACTTTGTTGCTCTGTCGAATGAGGCTGATAAAGTTTAAACCAGGAATCCTCACTAGAAGGAAATACTCTAGAATGCTATACAGATGAACCTTGAGGACATCATGAAAAGTGTAACAGATAGTTACAGAAACCCCCGACTGTTTGGCTCCACTCACAGGAGGTACTTAGAGCTCCACATTCATAACACAGAATTCGTAGAGCTGTGGGAAGGAAGGGATGGGATTCAACAGATTTTAGTTTGTGAGATGAAGAGTTTTATCAACGAACAGTGGCTACATAAACAGTATGACTATAACAAATGCCACTGAAGAGTATGCTTAAAAAATGGCTAATATAGTAGACCCTATTAGTATTTTATGAGAACATGAAAGAAAAAAAAAATAGTGTCTTAGTTAGGGTTACTATTGCTGTGATGAAACACCATGATCAAAAACTTGTGTCAAGCTTACAAAAGACTTGCAACCAGTACAGTAACACTTGCACATTCATATTTATTGATGTTCTACTCACAATATGGAGGAAATGGAGCTGGCCTAAATGTTCATCAACAGATAAATAGATAACAGAAATATGGTATAAAAACACACAATGGGATTTTATATTGTAAAATTTTCATTTTAAGAAAAATGAAATCATGAAAGTTATAGGAAAATGGATACAACTGGAAAATATTCTATAGTGAGGAAACCCAGTTTCAGAGAGGCAAATATAATATGTTCTCTCTGATAGGAGCAGCATGGCTTATAATGCTCACATACGTGTATATAAATGGGGTATGTATGGATATAGGCTCTGAAACTAGAAAGGAGACCACAAGGGGGTTAAAAGAGGCACTGAGGAATGGGGACACACATGACACATGAAAGGAAAAAGGAGGTTATGGGTGATGGGTGAGGAATGTAAGAGGTGTGAAGGCAATGTGGAGAAGAATTAACAAACAACACTTTTGTTTTAAAATGTCATAATGAGGCCGGGTGGTGGTGGCGCACGCCTTTAAGTCCCAACACTCAGGAGGCAGAAGCAGGTGGATCTCTGTGAGTTGGAGACCACCCTGGTCTACAAGAGCTAGTTCCAGGACACCCTCCAAAGCCACAGAGATCACTTACATGAGAAACAGATAACCAGATAGGACTCTGCAAATCCAGTCTCAGCAGCACTCTGATACCCGACCGGAACCGGGAAGAGAACATCTCTCCTCTCTCAGCCCTTTATCCTACATGCCTCCTAGGTACCTGTGACCACACCCAAAGGGAGTGGTCAGTGGTACAGGTAAGTAGATCTTCTTCCTACACACACCCACACTCATGAATATAAATAATGAAACCTAAGGCTTTGTATTATAATTTTAAAAACTCTACAAATCAAAAGACCAACAATTCAATAGAAAATGAGCAAAAGACTTTATCATAGCACAACAGTAAAAATTATTAAAAAAAAAGTGGTCAATTTCATTTGTCTCAAGGAAATGCAAATTTAAAGTACCATAAAATTCTGCTTCAGAACACTAGATTAAAAAAAAAAAAACAGAGAAAAATTATGAGGAAGAACATGGAAGAATCAGATTCCCATACTTGCTGAGGACTTTGGTAAATTGGTAGCATTCTGAAGCTGAGGTATTAAAAGGAGACACACACACACAATGTATACTGGCACTCTTTATAAGAGTTTAAAAAAAAATCAAAACACAATCTACTCAATGTCTGCCACCATTAAAATATGTAAATAAGTTGCAGGGTATTTACTCAATATAATTCACTCATACTTTTTAAACCTCAATTGAGTGGAAACTTCTTAATAAAGAAAGAATAAAAGAGACAGGGTTTCTCTGTGTAGTCCTGGCTGTACTAGAACTCACTCTATAGACCTTGAAGTTGGAGATCTACCTGCCTCAGTCTCCCAAGTGATGGGATTAAAGGTGTATGCTACCAATACCCTGCAATAAGAGGAATTAAAAAAAAATAGCTACACTAAAACCAACATCTGTAAGGAAGACTTACAGTGGAAACAGTCTCTGGGTAGCCAGAAAAGGAAAATAAGATTTAGAAATAGTTGCAATATTCCTTCAGTTTTGTTCTTTCCCAACTATAGTCACTGTTATGATAAAGAGCGTGGGGGACCTTGGCGTATTCTGCAGCAGCCAAGGGTGACCGAGGCGGGGGACAAACATACCAGGCAGACAGAGCTTAAGTGAGAAGTTTTATTAGAAAGGGGAGGGAAGTGGGGAGAAAAGAAAAAAAAAGAGGTAAAGAGACACACAGAAAGAGACAGAGACAGACAGAGAGAGAGACAGAAGAGGGAGACAGGAAAAGTCCTGTTTGTCCCAGGGGAACAGTGGGAAAAGAGTGTAAGGGGGGGGTCTTTCTTTTAAAGGGGTCCTTTGCACCTGTGCAGACTAGCAGTTATGGAATCCTGGGCTGACCTGAGTACTGCTTGAGTGCTTTCTGCCAGGTGACAGGGGCAGGCCAACATAATGCCCGAATCCTTACAGTCACTCCCAGCCTACACTGGAACAAGCGTTAAAGACAGAAGAGCATGAAAGAATGAGAGGAGGCATTGGTGTATATAGGACATGTGTATTGCATGGTAAGGTTACAAGACATAGTGAAAAGGTGGAGACTGATGTCAGCAAATTATTTCAATAGAGTGTCTTGAATATTAGTGTAATTGGGCAGAGAAAAACCCTCAAGGAAGATGTGACAATGGTCAGGAAGGTGATACTTTTTTTTTTTTGGCTGTCCTGGAACTCTCACTCTGTAGACCAGGCTGGCCTCAAACTCACAAAAATCCTCCTGTCTCTGCCTCCTGAGAGTTGGGATTAAAGGTGTGTGCCACCACTGCCCAGAAGGTGCTGCTTAAACTGGGATTTGAAGGATGTGTTGGAGTTGTCAGGCATATAGGTACAACTGGAGCGGAGAAAAGAAGCCTATCATTAAGGAAGCATGAACTCTGTCTATGTGAGCACTGGGCTGTGTGTGTGTAAGACGGATTGATAGAATGAGAAGCCAGGAAGTCAGGTCAGAGACAAAAGAGGCATAGGATCTTCGGCAAGGGTCTTCTAACTCCGAAGGAATAGAGATACTAGGTTCTAATTTTGGTTTCATCACTGTGTGACTTAGGCACCAATTCTCCGGTCGCTGTCACCACTTGTAACATATGTTGTGATAAAGAAATTAAAAGACCCTAACTAAGCAAGAGACCTCTGACCCTAGGCTATGGGACAGGAGGCCATAAGCAGTTCCAAAAAAAGAAAAGGGAACGCCAGCTCATCACCAATTGTATAAACACCGGCCCCTAGCCCATTGTCTCTAAGAAAACTAGGAACTAGATGGTCTCTTGATCTGCCGGTCATAAATCCCCAGACCACAGGACGTGTTAATCAGCCCTCAACTAAAACAAACGACAGTTATAGCTTCTTTGCTCAATACCTATTACCTTGTGAGAACCCTGTATAAAAACTTTGTAACTTTACATGAAACTTTGTAACCTTGCATGAAACTTTGTAACTTTATATGAAACTTTGAGATTTGAGATCATGGGTCTCATGACCCCTTCCCTCTTTTTTACTTCCCCTTTTGCTCTTTAGAAATACCTTGCATGTATGGTTCGGGGCTTCAACTCTCCCGACGGTGTTGAGCCCCAGCTAGCTGGTTTTCCTTGGAAATAAACAAACCTTCCTGTACTTGCATTCGGGTGTCGCTAAGCTCCTTGAAGCCTTGGGGTCCCTCTCTTGTTGGGCACAACAATGTATCGTGATCTTTTGTTACACAGTTGATGGAAGGGCTAAACAGACGACCGGACGAAGACTGATCAGTTGGCACAAACCTGTTCACGGCACAGTCTGGCTCATGTTAATGGCAAACGGGGACTGTATCGTTCTTTTAATAACGATCAGGTCCCCAAACACTCCTTTGTGCACAGCTTGCTCCTCTGGGCTGACCGCGCCCACTCTGCCGCGCTCGCCAGCCCTTCCCACGAGAGCAGGAGCCTGCTGCAGCTTACCCGGGCTCAGGTCGGCCTCCTCGTCCTCAGTTGTCGCGTGCTCCTTGAAGCCTGGAGGCAGTGCCGGTCCAATCAGGTCCCTAGCCATTCGCTGAGACGCACAGTCGCCCAGCGGCCAAGCCAACCTGCGCTCGCAGGTTAAACCCAGCCTCGACAGCAGACCAAGCTAAGCAGCCAAGGCCGCAGGTTTTTCCGGCTCCGACTGATGACGTAGGCCTGAGACCGGCCCATAGGTCAGACGGGCCGTAGCGGAAGTGACGCTTAATGTTAGCTCCACAATTGCGCGCTGGGCTCTCCGCTTGCTGGGTGGCATGGCAGAGCCGACTCCCGCCGGGTGGCCTTCAGCCCCCGCGATGACGCCCGCGCTGGGGACTCCGAGCGAAACTGCCCCGCCGCGGGACAACTGGGTGTTCTGGGCCATGCTGCCACCGCCGCCCCCTCCTCTGCCGTCCCCGGCGGCGGGGTCCGAGCCGTGCCAAAAGGAACAACCCCACGTGCAGACGCAGCCTCTCTCCGGAGCGCTTCCCCCGTTCGATGCTCAGATTCTTCCCGCGGCGCAGCCTCCTTTCGATGCCCAGGCCCCGCTGGATGTACAGCCTCAGTACAGCGGCCAGCCGGCCTGGAATTTCCAAGCCTCGACGCCTTGGTACTGGGGGCTGCCTCCTAATGGTTACCCCGCCTCTTCGGGTAAGCTGCTGTTCCTAGTGGTACCCCTTTGCTTTCTCCTTTTCCCTCTCCCAGCTTTCCCTTTTCATCTCTCAGCTCTCTGCCCTGTATTTTTGGAGGATGGTAATGAGTATTGAAAAGTTACCTTACTAGAAGGTCTTCCTTTGAATGTCTGCTCATTCAAAGTTTATTAATTCAATCCAACTGTTTACCGGGGGCTACTTACATAGATAGCAACGAACAAAACATACAAAAATTCTTACCTTTTGCAGGCTTCCGATCTCCCTAATGTAGGAAGATGCAATACAGGAAATAAAGCTACGCATTCCAAAATAATGATTGCATGTATGCATTAGAAAGGGATTGGTGGGGGCTGGAGAAATGGGTCGGCGGTGAGGAGAGTTTTGCAGGTGGGAAGGGCTGGCGAGCGAGCGTGGCGGAGAGGGCGCGGTCAGCATAGAGGAGCAAGCTGTGCACAAAGGAGTGTTTGGGGACCTGATCATTATTAAAAGAACGACCAGAACTCGATTCTCAACACTCATTAGGCGGCTCTTAACCACCTGTAATTCCAGCTCCAGAAGGGCCGATAACTCGTCTGGCCTCCATGGGGGACCTGCACTCACTCATATGCTACCTACACTTTTTTTTTTCAATGTAAGAAAAAAGGGTGTTTTGATTAATAATAAATAATTGTACGTTTGCAATCTTAAATAAATCTTTCCTTTCTTTTTTAGTTACACAATCTTATTTTCCACGAACACACGATGCAAAATTCAGTGACTTCAGTTTGCCTCAAAACAGAAAACAGAGAAAGAAGGTATTTCTGAGATGATGAAAGTGGCACTTTGAGCCTTATGTTTACTGCTTCATATCTTGTGTTTGACCTGTCTGTGTGTTTCACATCTGTTATGGACATGTGGCGCCTTAGTAGGATAGGATTTTTAATGAGCTTTTCCTCAAGTAAAAAGTTGAAGCAAAGTAGTTTTGAAAAACAAATGATGAAACCATAGAAAAAAAGAACATTAAATCGGGGCTGGAGAGATGGCTCAGTGGTTAAGATCACTGGCTGCTTTTCCAGAGGACCAGGGTTCAATTCCCAGCACCCACATGGCAGCTCACAACTGTCTGTAACTCCAGTTCCAGGTGATCTGACATCTTTACACAGACATACCTGAATGCACATGAAATCAAAATAAATAAATTATTTTTAAAAAAAGAACATTAAATCTGTTTGGATACCCAAACAAAATTGAGGATTATGATTACAAATACATATAAATATTATTAAACTTCTGTGAAGTTTAGAAGATTACCAAGGATGGGACTGACTGCTGGAATTAGAAGACTGGAAGTCCTAGCCTTTTACGGAGTTGGAATTGCAAACAAATTGTGATGAAAAATCTTTTATTTTTCATAATCTTGTTGCTTTTTAGCATGGAAGAATCTTTCTTTGATATAGAAGCAGATCCCCTTCTTACCCCCCCCCTTTTTTTTTTCTTGTTATGCTCAATTGAGCTATAATCTAATGTTTCTAGGTTAGGAGAGTTTATATTTTCCCAAGCTGTGCACATAGTGTCTTAAATTCAGACAGAATTCATTGTGCTATTAGTGTTTGTTTGTGCTTGTTGTAAGATTTTCATCTTTTCAATAATGGATATTTGTCATTGTTAGAAAAGCTTTTTTTCTTTTTCTTTTTTGTTTATTTGTCCAGGTTGTAAGGTTTCCTTTTTTTTTCAGCAATGGGTATTTGTCGAAGGCCTTTTTTTCTTATTTTACATTTGTTTTTGTTGGGGGTAGATGCGTATGTGTGGAGGTATGAGAACAACTTACAGGTGTTAGTTATCTCCATGTGTGTCTTGGGGATTGAATGAACCCAGGTCCTAAGGTTTAGCAGCAGATGCTTTTACCTGCCTGGAAGCCAGTTTTTCATATAAGGAGAATGCCTCGTTATATGTCACAAACCATATACTATATTAAAAACAGGTTTTCTTTATTATTGTCTGAACCTAACTACAGGTCAGGTTTCTTCTTTGTATAAGTGGCCCAATTACTTTAGGGTAGATTGAGTACTTTCTAGAATAGTGGTTCTCAACCTTCCTAATGCTGCAATCCTTTAATACAGATCCTCATGTTATGGTGACCCCCAACCATGAAAGTATTTTGTTACTACTTCATAAAATTGTAATTTTGCTGCTGTTATGGGTCATAATGTAAATATCTGATATCCAACCCCCAAAGGGGTCATGACCCACAGGATGAGAACTGCTGGTATAGAACTTGAAATTAATGTCCTTTTTGTGAGAACTATTAATTCATGTTATTAATATTACATAGGTACAGTATATCTATTAACAGTCCATTTAACATTAACAGTAACATAACTTAAAAAATGGAGATTATTTCCTTTATCAGTATTCTAGTATAGTCTCCTTTGAGAGACTCTTTTTTTCTTACTTTTTTTTTTTTTTTTCTTAACCTATTTACCTTAAATAAGTGCTTTTAGATCTTGGCAGATGCTATACCAAATCCTCATTGGGTCTCTAACTTGAAGTCTTATAGTTTGAATTAGCTCCTTTTAGATTTAAATTTTGTTTCTCGTGTCTGACTTTTGCTATATTGCTAACAAATAAAAGAATCCCTCACCCCAGAGTATGTTTTAAATCAAGTATGTATTCCTGGAATAAGTTGTGTTTGGTTGAGCAGAGATTTTTTTGTACCACAGTCTTACTGCTTTTTTTTGTTGTTTGTTTGCAGAAAAGAAAGGAACCGGTTTTCCACTTTTTCTGTGATACCTGTGATCGTGGCTTTAAAAATCAAGAAAAATATGACATACATATGTCTGAACATACAAAAGTAGGTTCCTGGTTGTTCTGAACCAATGTAGTAAAGGCCTCTTATTTGTATTTTTGGTGAAAGTGCCAAATTTATTTTCCTCATAAGTTTGTAGTTTTTACAGAAAGAAATGTTTGATAACTTGACACATAGGGACAGGGCCTGGGATTTGGAGTTTGGGGGTGGGGAGCCCACTGCTGCATGGAGAGGAGGAGCTGTGGCAGCCTCTGTGTCTGTGCCCCTCCATGGCTACATGAGAGGAGAGCTGGGCCTCCCCTGCAATCACCTTGAGTGCCTCTGAGCACTTTCCCTCTTCTACTGTCTTGATCTACAGCTCACTGTGTGATTTGTCTTAGTGTGCTGTTCTCTAAATATAACCCAGATGATTTAAAAATGTTAAGCCATTTAGAACGTTTGAAAGTTTGTTTTTTAAGGAAAACTCTTGTTTTGGAAACATCGTTTGCAGGAATGCCTCCCCTTTAGGAATTAGGAATGTTCCACTCAATGAAAGAGGAAATGGGAGTGACTGTGCTGCTCATCTCAAAGATGCCATTTCCTTCTAAGTGCAGCTGTTTCAGAGGGATCTGTGTTTTGCTGTTGGACTAAGAATGAAGGAGTGATAGCACAGAATAATCACTGGCCGACCATAGTGTGTAGATCCCTGGTGGTGTGAACCATTAAATCATGGCCATCATTAAAGTGTCTTTTTGTTGTTAAACTTTTCAGTGCCCTGAAGCCGATTGCTCTTTCAGTGCACACGAGAAGATTGTCCAGTTTCACTGGAAAAATGTAAGTTCTTAATGACTTTTGACCTGTTGTAAATGTGTTCTCTGTGTATGCCAATAGTAATATTCATGCAGTGTTTTGTACTTTGTAAGGAAGTTTTACATCTCTTACTCTATTTTAGTCTTAAACCATGCAAAATAGATAGCTATTAGGTCCTCCTACAGATCGAGAAGAATGACTTACCTACCCAGACCTGATTGTTGCAGTTGCAAGTTTTATGTTGGTTTGACCATGCCATGCTTCTTAAAATGACTGTGGCTGGGTGCTGACAAGATGGCTCAGCAGTTAAGAGCTTGCTCTGTTCCTCCAGAGGACTCAAGTTCAGTTCCCAGCACCCACACTGGACAGCATACAACTGCCTGTAACTCAGGCTTCGGGGATTCAGTGTCCTGGTATCTGAGGGCACTTTCATGCATACATGCACATAGAGACACACACACATGACACATGCATGCACAAACCAAAATAAACAAAAGACTTGTGAAAAAATGATCATGTCTACTAATTTTTTAATCTGTCACCTTCAGTTTTGCTTGATTAGTTGGTCACGGGAATTTAATGTCAATTGAGAAAATGGGTTATGCATCTATGTAATAAAACCTATGCTGCTTTCTCCCATAATTAGCATTGATCCAGCTACATGAGAAGCTTTTCCTTTGAGGGATAAGGCATAGTGAGAATGCTTGTTAGCTTAAAATATTTTCTGCTTGTAAGTTTCATGTTGGATACAATGTCGCATTTAGTTAAGAGCACACACTATGCTTCCTGATGTTCAGCAGGCTTTCTGCCCTTAGATGCATGCTCCTGGTATGAGGAAGATCAAGCTAGACACTCCAGAAGAGATTGCAAGGTGGAGGGAAGAAAGAAGAAAGTGAGTAAAGAGCTGCTAACTAATCAGTAACTTCCTTTGTCTGTGGCAAGACTAATGGCTGGCCAGCCGGTCCTGCTGAATATGAGAAGAGAAATGTGGTCTTTTATAGCGTTGTAGACATTTTCACTGAAAGTGACCCGGCTTGATTTTGTGTTCTTCAATAGTGGTACATTATAACTGAGAATAGTGTTAGTTGATGGTTTAAAAATCAGCATCTTTATTATATAGTGAAGTCCATCGAATTATTTCATAATGCTAACATGAAGAAAGAGAACTGTAACCTACATTATATTAGGCTATTGGGTATGGTTTGGGGGAGAGTTACAGGAACTTTGCATTTAAATAACAGATGTACCGTAACTATACGAACCCCGAAGAGTGCTAACATGCCACTTACTAGATATTCAGTGGCTGGGGGAATAATGAGCTTGTAATAATATTTAAATGTATAATACATTGTCATGTTTATATTTATTTATTTATTATTTGTTTAAACGCACGGCTGAATGACTGTTCTCTGCTAGGTAGAGTGGGTTTAGCAGTGAACAAGATGTCCATGTACGTGTCCTTACCTGTAAAAAATCCAGGAATTCATCCCTGTAATTAATGTTTAAGAGATGTGAGTGAGTCTTTACTGTGTTTCTTGTGGCTTTACATATATTAGCAGAGTTGATGTCTGGCTACAATGTACTTGTGAAAAATCTGCCTGGAACTCCATGTTACTGTCTTCTCACGTATTTGATCCTGTAGCAGAAGACTGAGGTAGAATTATTAGAATGATAAGGTGCACTTTGACAATCATTTAGTTTGTTTTCTGTTGCTTTGATAAAATACCCAGAAGCAACTTAGTGAAGAAAGTTCAGTGTGGCTTATGGGTCCAGAGAGTTAGAATCTATAATGGCAGGAATGACATGGCAGTGGGCAGCTGCAGCAGGAAGCCAGCTGATCACATTTTGTTGGTAAACCAGGAGACAGCTAAAATCAGGCAAGACTTAGCAACTCTGAAAGTCAGCTACCAGAGACGTACATCCTTCAACGTAAATGCTCCATAACCGTGAATCTCTGTAACCTCTTCAAACAACGCTGCACAAGTGTACATAGTTGAGTCTTAGGGGGACATTTTCAATCAAACCACCACAGTACTTTTTTCCTAGAATTAACAAGAAGGAAAGTCAGATATGGAAAAAAAAACAAGAGGTTATCTGTTTTGATTTATTTATTTATTTATTTATTTATTTATTTATTTATTTGAGATAGGGTTTCTCTGTGTAGCCCTGGCTGTCCTGGAACTCACTTTGTAGACCAGGCTGGCTTACATAGATCATCATGCCTCTGCTTCCCAAGTGCTGGGATTAAAGGTGTACACCACCATTGCCTGGCTTTAAATTTTTTCTTTATTTTGTAGCATTGGGTTTGAAATTAAGGCCTTGCTTATACTAGACAAGTATTCTGCCACTGTGCTACAATCCCTAGCTGTCTTTAATTAATTTTTTTAATTATTATTTGTCTATTTTACTGGTATGTGTGTCTATGCACCACATGTACTCAGTGTCTGAGGAGGCCAGAGAAGGCATTGGATCCCCTAGAACTGGACTTACTCATGGTTGTAAGCAACTTTGTATTTGCTGGGAATGGAACCTGGGTCCCCTGGAAGAGCAGCCAGTGTTCTTAACCATGGAACCATCTCTCCAGCCTCTCTTTTAAATTATTTTTAAAATGGACTCAAGGGACTCACTTCATCACTAAGGCTGATGTTGCCTCACTCGGTAGCCCAGGCTGAGTTTGAACTCCTGATCCTTTTCTGCATCCTTCTGAGTAGCCTGGCAAGAAGCTAGTCTTAAAGATACTTAAACTCTTTTGACCATAGAGCATAGCTTGTTGATACATCCATGATGGTATTGGTCACAATATATTTTGCTTTCCCTTGTCTTAGAGTTGGTACCACTGCACTTTGCACCTGGAATTGAGTTTGAGAAGAACACATTTAGGGGCCAGGTATGGTGGCGCACATCTTTAATCACAGCACTCAGGAGGCAGAGAACACATTTGTTGAGAGAATTGCTGTCTGGGGGAGTATATACAGTATGAGAAGGTAGCCTTGGAAGTCATAAGGGAGCCTTAGACGACTGCAGGGACAAACTTAAAGATCAAGGGAGTTGTAACCATGAAGCAGTTAGACTTGAAGGAACTGTCATGCACTATGTATGAAGCTCTTTGCTTCCTCTATGTGCCTTCTTTATGGCTACATTTTATTTTTATTTTCTTATGACACCCCTCAAGTATCTGGGATTTTTTTTTTTCTCTGTTTTTGTTGTTATGTGTTGGTTAATCTTTTCCTTAATACTTGGTATTAGCTCCACCCTCTGTCTGACACTCAGTTTGGAAAGCTCACAACAGTGATACTGAAAGTGGTACCTATATGGGTTAGGATGTCTTTATTCAGATAAACACCAGCCAAACATAAACCAGAGAGAGAGAGTGCCCTGAGGCAGCAGGCTAGGGAACCCAGAAAGAGAGCGCTCCCATGTCTGTTGCCCCCTTAAGAATTCCCCATGCCCTCACAGTCAAGCATACCTGTAGCTCCTAGGAGGTGGGGCTCCAGCGTCTCCCTATAGGTACCCTGTTGGATGGAATGGAAAGCCAATAAATAGTACCTGTTGGATACTAGCTTTTCCTGTGCTTTGTAGTCTGATCACTTGGAGGCTGCTAGTCCAGTTCAGTGGTGCTAGCTAGCTTCCTTATAAGTGTTTAGTTCTTTTGAGGGAAGTGAAAATGGCTCCCCATCCATAGCTCTGGTCTTCACATCAGCTTCTCTGTCCTTTCATTGTCCTTCCCCTGCCCGGCGAACCTGAGCTCTCACTACATCCTCTTCAGCAGGCCACACAGGTGTGATCACGTCCTCTGCAGGTGAGCAAGCTGACTTAGGACTGACTTGACTAGTGACAACCTCAGTGTTTTCTTGACTTGCTTCTCCTGTGGTGGAAAGCCAGGTGTTCATTTTGTAGTTGTTGCTCAATTATACAAGTGACCTGTCTGTACATTTCCAACATTTGTCATGAAAACTCATAAAATTGGTGATCAGAATTCTTTATTGGGGCTTGGTTTTTGGTCATTTCTGCATTATCCTGAGCTTTTGGTATCTGGTAGACTTTTTGTCTCCTTTATATAGGTTTTTAGACCCTTTGACAACTTCGTGAGTTTTCTGTTGCTTCCTTCCTTCCTTCCTTCCTTCCTTCCTTCCTTCCTTCCTTCCTCCCTCCCTCCCCCTGTTGCTTCCTTCCTTCCTTCCTTCCTTCCTTCCTCCCTGCCCTTCTTGCTTTTTTTTTTTTTTTTTTTTGGCTTTTAGAGACAGGGTTTCTCTGTGGCTTTGGAGGCTGTCCTGGAACTGGCTCTTGTAGACCTGTCCTGGAACTGGCTCTGGTCTCGAACTCACAGAGATCCGCCTGCCTCTGCCTCCCCAGTTCTGGGATTAAAGGTGTGCACCACCCACGCCCGGCTTCTTTTTCTTTTTTAAGACAAGGTCTTATTAAATAACCCTGGCTGGTGTGGAACTCACCATGTAGACCAGGCTAGTCTCCAACTCATGGCAGTCCTGCTTCAGCTTTCCGGGTGTTGGGGTCATAAGCTTGTGTCACCCAGCCCTGCTGAACCTTTTGTTTCGATTTTTTTTTAAATATTTTATTTATTATGTATACAACATTCTGCTTCCATGTATATCTGCACACCAGAAGAGAGTACCAGATCTTATAATGGATGGTGGTGGCTCACAACTCAGGACCTCTGGAAGAACAGCCAGTGCTCTTAACCTCTGAGCCATCTCTCCAGCCCTTGTTTTGATTTTTGAGACAGGGTTTCTCTGCATAGCCCTGGCTGTCCTGGAACTGTAGACCAGGCTGGCTTCAAACTCACAGGAGTGTCCCTGCCTCTCTCCTGAGTGCTGGAATTAAAGACCTGGCTCCAGCTGAGCTCTTGATTTGTTAGTTTTTGTCATGATGCTGCTTCAGTCACAGAAAGGTGAGCTTCTGTATCCATGAGTTCCTGCTTACAGAGCTCCTGCTGGCTTGGGGGTAAATATGGGGCCTCCTCTCAGCCAGTTTAGCACAGATGCCCAGTACTGTCCCACTGGAGAGCTATTTTGCATTTTGTATTCTTGAATAAGTTAAGTATTGGAAAGTTAAGGACATCTTTAATGTGGCTGTTTATATCATCTGGTCCTATAGATAAAAGTGCTGCATGTAATATTACTATATGTAAATGGGGTTTGAGATTATTTTATTATGGATACATTCTATTTCAGTACCCTGTGAGCCATGGCTCACTGCTGTGGCTTTTGATATTAGATTCTCCTCAACAAGACAAATCATCAGTCCCTGTTTAAAAGCCTGAATTCTTAAATGACTTAGGAACTCCCCCTTGTGGTTCATGCAGCAAGTGATTCAAGGAAAACAGTTTCTGACAGAACCAGGGACTTTTCAAGTGCCCATAGAAATCTTAACAGCCTTTGACCATGTGTTGATAGAAATCATGTCTTTTAATAATTGTTTGGCAATGGTTTATCATGAAAGTTAGTGATAAACATTTCCTTTTTACTTATTTTACATTTTTATTTATGTGTGGGGTATGTGTGGAGGTCAGCGGGTAACTTCAGAGAGTTGGTTCTTTGCTTCTATCACGAATGTTCCAGGAATTGAGCTCAGGGCATGAGACCTGGCCACAGGTGCCATTATTGACTAAGCCTTTTCATAAGCCAGAATTTTGTAAGTGAGAAGATAAACATTTTACTAATTATGGCTAAGGTTACCAAAACTAGAGCCTCTCCTTCTAATGAGAAATAGTGACTAAATATTTATACGAGGTACATAGAAAGCCACATGCAGCTGACCTAACTTCAGCACATAGGGATAGAATGCTTAGGCAAAGGGTGCCTTTCTTTGTTCATTTGTTTTGTTTTGAGGCAGGTTCTCTATGTAGCCCTGGCTGTCATGGATCTCACTCTGTAG